ATTAATCTGACCTTTTTCTGAATGTACTAACAGGTTAAAAGTTAAAACCTACCAGAAATCTGAATTACTGTACATGTACTCCCCCATGCACCAGTACTGCTGTTCCGTGATCAGTTTTATTTATAAGTTTCAGTTTTGTTTGAATAATCCGTGACTTGGCTAAGGAAAAATAAAATAAAATTAACTATAATATATAAATATATATGATATCTTATAGGATTCCTTGTACTATTTTACTGTTCTTAGTAACTTTTATTTTTTTTAACCTTTTCAAAGTCCAAATATATCACTATCTAATTGAAACAACTCAAGGCAGCTTGTAAGAAAAGAAGGGGGTTAACTGATAGAAGACTGAAAAGAAAAAAAATAATAAAAAATGAATGTGTCTATGACTAAGGCACAAAAAAGCTGCAGATGAGTAACTAAAGTAACATATATATATATATATATATATATGCAGCCGTTGATCAGTATTTTGACTGAAGCAAACTCCACATTTTGTTGCCTTCAAGATGAGTTCATTTTGACACAATTGGAAATAGCATAACAAACTCACTTACTATATATAGTAGTTTCTTGAAAGTTAAAGCTAACAAGACTTAAGTTAATCGAAAGTTATATATATATATATATGAACTAGTAAGTTGACCTCTTCTAGAAAAATGATAAATTAATTTGACACTCACTAAATTTAGTATACTAATTTGCCATTATCATAAAAAAAAAATAAAAATCATTTGACCAGTTAGGCTCTGTTTGATAAGCATATAAGCTAGCTTATAGCAGCTTATTTGATTAATTTATAAGCTTCATGTATTCAAATAAGTTTGATCTCATTAGCTTCATTGAGTAGTTTTTCAAATAAGTCTATTAAAATTTTTATTTCAGCTAGCTTATCAACTAATTTTACTGAACACTTTTATCATATAAACTAGTTTTACAGTCATAAGTTAAACATTCATTTTTGATTGATTAAGTTTATCTCTTAAAAAGTAATACTATAATTTCAAGCTGATCAAACTTAGTACACTAATTTGTCAAAATCGCGAAAAGGTATTCATTTGTCAAATTAGCGTACCAAAAAAATCATCTATTTTGTGTTGTGAATTAAAAATAAAATCAAGCTTTTGCAAAACTATAAAATCATACCCCCAAATTGCATATTTATGCTTTATTTCTCATGATCAAGAGGCCTTTAGAATCATCAGCTAACATAATATATATAGGTTTAACTTAGCTTACCTAATATTCAGTACATCAGCAGAATTAGCCACATGATTTTCATGTCTAGCCTCATTTGAAACACCCCAAAAAAAACCTTTAATTGAAAACACTACATCTAAATGTACATTAGACTAGATACATGAGCTAAACCCTAAAAACAAGAGCTGATAAAAAAGAAACAAAAAATAAAACTAAAAAAAATAAATAAAAATAAATAGGTTAAATGATAGTGACTGAATGAGTATATTATGAAATGTCACTGGATCCAAGAAAATTAAAAGCTGCCAACTATAAAAGTAGTTGCAAGAAAAAGGTATTCTCAGTGGTCCTATGTGTTCAATTTATTAGCAAATGCATGTACAATTTATACACACACAAAAACAAAAAGATACACTACTACACAAGCACGCGAAAATAAAAATGTTGTGGATATAAACTATTTAAATAAAAAGTTTATGTAGGATGATGGTGGTGTTGCGTATATTCGAAGCATGAATAAATCCAAGAAAATAAGATCCACACATATATATATTCAAAACANAAAAAAAAAAAAAAAAAAAGAAATCTAGCTAATTATAAGGGTGCCCTATAAAATGAATAATTATTTAAAACTATGTTTGAAGGAAAACTATTTCAGAGAGTGGTGCCCTATAAAATGAATAATTATTTAAGACTATGTTTGAAGGAAAGCTATTTCAGAGAGTGGTTGAATAGGACATGCAATAAAGGCTAAGTTTATTTCTTAAAGAAATAGTAAAATTAAATTTGAGATAATCTAATTTGTGTGAGTTATTTTAATTTGTATAAAAAATTAAATTTATATTGCGAAATGTTATACTTATATATATTGTTAATTATTTTTTAATGTATGTTACTTGTAGGGGTGGACGCAGACTTTCAAGAGAACGAACACACAAACTAATTATGAAAAGGTACACAAAAATCAAAGTCCAATATATATACATATTAATTCATTAAAATTAACGTTAATTATATAACAAAAAATATTGGCCAGGCATTGACTGGTGGCTAGCGATCAAATCGATCGATCTTGACCACACATCTTGTTACCTATTTAAGATTTAATGACTAAGATTAAATCTCACATTTTCATTTATAAGAATAGAGAGTATTTGATTTAACTCCTATATATATATGATACTAATTTTTAATGTATTTTAGGAGGAAAAGGAAAGAAACCAAAATCTTAAGTATAACATCATCATAATTTCTATAATCTTTAAAAAATAACATACTATTGAAGGTTAAATATTTCTAATTTTTTTTTTTTACTTTTTCTTATATTGAAATAACTTTTCATAATAATTAATAGCATGTATTTTTTATGTTTATATAATAAGGCATATATACATATAAAATATATATACAATATTATTAAAAAATTCTACCGGGGGCCGTGCTCCTACGCGCCCTGTGTAGATCCGTCACTGGTCACTTGCATATAAAATTATGCGCATTTGTTAAAATAAAAATATAGTTGTTTAACGGTTACGTCTTTCTGACTAGTATACAGATAAAGCACAAGATGAAAAATCCAAGAGAATTAAAAAAAAAATTACATTATAAAATATGGAAGCCTTGCAAGACAAAATTGTTCTTTACTTAAATGCTTGAAATATAAGAGGCAAAAAGAAAAAATAACAAGCAAGTTACTTTCATTCTGCAGTAGTTGATCACAATATATATGGATGCACTTTGGCAAAAAAGAAAAAATCATCCATTCTGTAACACAATCAAGTCTCCACAAGTCACTTAACTTTCATTGTGTATTGTTAAATGATTCATGCATGTAACTACCACATGAATGCATCTACAAAATCCACACTATTTATCCTAGATTTAATATGAATATATTCTAGTACATCATTCACAAAAAAAATAATAATAATAAATAAATAAAAAGGCAGTTAATTTATGAAATACCCTGCTTTAACTTAACCATGTCCCATTCAAATGTCATGCATTTTGCTGAGAACAAAAGTGAAAATTATAGAGATTGTTATAACTGCAGCAAACTGTTATTTATACTTCTTACAAGATTATTTCATTCACCAAGTCCTTAAATATTGAGCCCTCAATATGAAGAATGGGCTTTTGTGATCTGAGGCCCATTCTTCAGGCCCAGCCCAGCCCATCCAGGGTGGCGAAGCTGGGGCCTCCAGCTGATTCTGCTTCACTTTTAGACTACTGTAATAAATTCAAGACAAAATCCAACTTTCAATGTACATGATATAAATAGTATATTAACTTATAAATCGAACAAAATCCGTGAAGTGACAATTGCCAGTTTTGCCACTAAGAATATGTTTGACGGTCAATCAAACAATTGAAAACTGCCATTCATAACATCCTATTTGCTTCTTCTGCAAATAAAGATTTTCAACTGTCACATAATGTAATAACTTTGCAGATATCTTCTTCACTTGCTCACCTTCACTATTACCAAAAGACCCCCATAAACTCTCAAGTATCTAAATTTCATCCCCACACTTTCCTTTCTATTCCATCAAAGCCCACATTCTCACATTCTGGTCTGTAGCTTTTGATCAACACACATTCTTGAATGGGGCGAGTCAACCGTTAGGCGGGTCGACCCGTTTTATCAATACTGAAAAGTCAGCTTCTTTCAATAATCCTAAACTCATAAAGCCACCAGAATCAAATGTTCAATTTTCAAGCCTTTCAGCAAGCAATGAAAACTAGTTTAATTAATTCATATCAAATGCCAAATCTACAAACAGATTTGCACACAAACTGCAGAGAAGCATAACTTGATATAAAAATCAAGATTCCAATTTTGGGAATGCATGACTATAAATTTAGTAAATCATCAATCTCATGGTTAATTACTCCTATATACAAGAATTCATCTATAAATAAATAAATGTAAATACAAAAGTAAAACTCCTAAACTTGGCACATTATTAAGATTTTTCTCAAAATAAATAAATAAATAACAAAAAGATCAAGAACAAAATATATTCTTGACTAGAATATATATCAAACTTTGAACCTCATACATACAACTAGAGTATTCAGTATTTACTCAATGTTTGTATATATAATATATATAATAGTATAGCCACAACTTGAGCAAGAGCATGCTGGGAAAAATTGTTCTCTTGCTAACAACACAAAATTAACAAAAATTCAATTCCTTCTCAGTTATTCTTCGGAGGATGCGGTTTTGGCGTTCGATAATCCGAGCTAAAAGCCTTGTTATACTCTCTCCAGTTCTCTTTTCTACTGTGATCTCCAAGAGTATGAGCTTCCATTCTAACTTTCTTGCAGCCTTTATTGCTTTTTTGCTCTTCGAATTTCGCCATCCCATTTTCGCTCGATTTTCTTGTTTCGATTTTCTCACTTTTCATTTTCCTACCGATTCTTGCGAATGTTCGATCCATGTCTGCTTGATTTAGGACCGGTTGATGAAGATTTACCTGTTATTAGGTCGATTAGTTAGTTAGTTAGTTTGTGTATGGAAAATGGTACAAATTAAAAAAAAAAAAATCGAAACTTATATCCGAATTAAATCTCAATCTTATGAAATCAAATTAAATTACTATGTATGTAAATCATAGCCTATGTGTATTTCTCATTATATGCTCGGATATATATGATACATGTATATATATCGACATGTTAATTAGCTTAAGGCTATATATAAAGATTTTGACTAAAAATTGCAGAATTTTAAGTTTACATTTGCAGACATATGTATATATATATGCTCTAGCTAGTAAGTTGTACTTTCATGTCACAGTACAACAGCATTATGCAGAATTGTTCTATCAATCAAATTACATATGACAAGAAAATGTGAAACACATGATTATGGAAAATAAACAATAAAAAGACTATAGAAAACTCGAAATTTTGAGAAGGGCTGCTACAAAATGTAATTTTTGTACATTATAAATTAGTTACCTTTCGGAAAACGTACAAGTTTTTCGGGTCGGCCTCTGCAAGAGCTTTCTCATCATGCATTACAATCGACGTTCTCACTTCCTTCACTATAAGCATTAAAAAAGCAAAAGAAAAGAAAATAAAAATAAAAATAAATAAAACGAGCGTGATTATGAAAATTCTTTATCTAAATCATATTTGTCGAGGGGAGCGTAGAGAAAATTCGACACATACCTTGACGAGCATGCGAAAAAGATTCCATCATGGCAAGCAAAATGAGAACAGATGTCAAAACAAGGCGATGATCAAAGCCAACAATGGTTAGCCTCAGCATTTTTTATTTTTATTTTTTTAACTTTTTAATTAAGACTTCTACTGTTTTGCTACAAATCAATGGGAAATGGAAAATGCATATATATATAGAGTGAGAGAGAGGAAATTTGTTACATGTTGCATTTTATAGGAAAGATCAAAGTCTAAAAAATCAAGTCAAAGCTCATTGGGTTGCTAGAAGCAGAGCACATATTTTATTTAATTTTTTTCAAATATATATAAAAATAATTTGATGGTCCAGTACAAACAGTACATTGAAAAACTCAAATTTCAGAAATAATGCATAAATTTAAGTAAAGTGATGTTCATAGTTTTACTTAATAGTTAGCAAAGTTTGAGGTGAGTTTTGTGTGTGTTCTGAGCCTGTCTGCCGCCATGCACGCAACGAGGTAAAGTTACTATTTTTATATGAAAAAAGTTGAACCATTTATAGTTTATTTAATTAACTGCAATTTAGTTATAGCAGATATCACAAATCCAAATGCTTTTACCAGACTTCAGATTCTAATGTATATTCTTCTCCTTTTCAATTTGTTGAAGCAGAGATTTTTTATTTANAAAAAAAAGCTGCTCAAGTTCAGATATTTGAACTTATTTTTGTCTTACAACTAATGTAGCCTTCGTATAGTAGTACGATCAGTAATACTTGTTTACTTATTTTATTTCCGAAGTGCAGAGGGAAAGATTTAGAAGTAGGTTTTGAAGACATTCTAATATATAATTTCAGAATCCTACGTGGCAAACTCTCATGCTTCGGAATCCTATTTGGCAAAAAATCATGCTTTAGAGTTAGGCTTGGATATAGATTAATATTTGTATTAATTATATTTTAATATCATTTTCTATTATAACCAATGAATTGGAAATATATTTTAAAAGTTGATAACTTTTGTATTTCTTATCGATTTTACATATATAATATATCAAATTAATCATCTTTTGATGAACTTCGATTTTGTCATACTAAAATATATAATATATACTCCTTCCTATTTTTATTATTTGTCACTTTGGCATAATTGATCATTGATAAAATAAATGTCATTTTAGATATTTTGTTCATAATTTTCTATTTTTAACCCTCCATTTAATACACAGTATTTCTTCATATCCATCTCCATCGTTTCCCATAAAATCTATTAAATAGAGTTAATATTGTCAAGAAAAAAAAATCCTAATTAGTGTGTTGCATTTGAATTGATATTATGAAGCCCATTTGTATTTTACTATTTATATATATATATATATATATATATAAAATGCAAAACAATAATATATATCCTTATAAATAAAATTTAAATTATTTATCAAGCTAAATTAAATTATATCAAATAAAACTATAAATTATATTATAAAGTAATAGAAATTGGTATATATTCTTTTAAAAATGATATTTATTTCAAATCTAATTGGTATGTTGTCAATGTAATAAAAATAAATAATTATTTATATAAATTCTAAAATTACGTATAAAGTTAAAAAATTGTGAAGCACGACTGATACAACACTTGATGTATTAGACATCTAATTAAGTAAAAAAATTAATCTATTTTGCTTAATATTAAATAAATATATTCTATACTTATGCATATACATATCACCATGTTATTTCTATTTATTTAAGATATATATTGTACTTACGTAATAGTAAATAATATCGATATTTTTATATGATATAAGTAAAAAAATTCAACACGGGTTGACATTTTCATTTAATATACGGGTGTTTAATTATTATGATTAAAAAAATATAATTTGACAATTTAATTAAAACCCAAAGTAATGTTTTATATAAAATTAAATTATTTTAGTTTTTAAAAAATAAAAAATTTAATATATTTTACAAAAGCTTAATATTATAATATATTTTGGCTTAATCCAATTCCCTCCATGAACCACAAAAATTACACGGGTTAAGAATCCTTTATCAATCAAATGTTAAGAATCATATATCAATATTGCTTAATTACACGAGTTAAGAATCTTATACCAATCAAATGTTAAGAATCCTATATCAAATTATAAATCAAACTAATTTAAAATATATAAAAAAGTATAGTTTATCATATAAAGCAATAAAAATTTATGTGTATTAACATACTATAATATAGCTATTTTATTTAAAAAAATAAATAAACTAATTATGAACATCAAATTAGTATAAACAAATATTCTAAAAGTTTACGTCTCGACTTAAATAAAGACTACACATAAACATTATGATCGTGAAAAAAAAAGTAAATAAACATTATAATTAAAATATAAAAATAATTATTTTATTTCATAAAGTTTAAAATATTACACTCATACACATTATATTTTAAATTTTTGAACATCACAAAGTTGAATAAATTTTAAAATATATTAAATTAGGGAGAAAGATTGTATAAATATAAAGTATAATTGCAATAAAATCATACTTGAAAAAAATAAATTAAAATTAAATATGAGTGTGTATGTGTATGTGTGTGTGGTTTAGAAAATTATCATTTTAACAATTTGAGTGTAAAATAAGAGTATTATTTTAAATAATTATTTTTGTTATTTTTTTTAGTTATTAGTTGTATATCTAATTTTTTATCATTCTACTATAAGAATATATATTTCTTCACTTCTTTATTTTGATATAAATATTTAACTTTTAAGCGCCCGTGATATTCATGAACGTTATTAACTGTCGAATAGATTAATAAAATCTATTTAATTTTAACAAAAAAAAAATATATTAAATAAAATACATAATATTTCATAAAAATATTTTATAGAATTAAAAATAATTTTAAAAATATTTTTTATTAAATATTTATAGTTTTTTAATTCACAATAGTAATTTTTTTTCCTTTTTGTTAGATAATTAATTTTTTATGAAACACCCGTGTAGTANCGTTTGGAACTCATCAGAACATGGGCAAGTGGCGGTGGCATAGAATCACTAAAACCCATCATTATAATCACATGAAACTTAGTAAACAAACACAATGTCTAAGTCTAAACAAGTGCATGCAAACAAACTTTTCCCAACTTTTTTTACTCAACAGTTGTAACTTAATGTGGTCTCACGTTAGACGCAGAACACAAGATGCGTTTATTCACGACTTTCACGGTCCAAACCCTCAGTTGGTTCTCATTGGGAAAAGCATATGCTTCAACAACTGCACTTTCGAAAAGTTTTCTTCATTTTACAAGTTTGAGTTTTGTGTGTGTAAAGTGTAAACAGAGGCCAATGGAATACACTTGGAAATTGTTCAAAAGGTGTATAGTGATCTTTTAACTTTATTTTGCCAAATATATAGTCAAAAGTCCATATGTGGAAGTTTCGAAAACACCCCTCAACTGTCGAAAACATTGCAAAGAGCCCCCAAAGTAATTGAACTATGTCATTTTGGTCGACTGGTGATCAAAATCTTACGGAGCTGGATTTTCGTACAATCTACATCGTTAGAAGATTCATTCATTTTGTAAGCATTTCAACGGCGTCTCCCGATCAAAAATCGGATATCTTAATCATCGAAAAATAGAAAACGGAGTTTTTTCTCATGCACGTGTGTAGTTACGTTATCCATCGATCCATTACCGACGAATTAATTATTAAAATTCGATAAAATATGCATCATTTTGTTCGTCTCGTCATGTGCTTCGAAAGTCTTAAATCTATTTCAAAGTTCAATTCAAAATCAATCCGCAATGGAACTAAAAATATTTCTATGTCATATTAGGTTTTTAAATTTCAAGAGATATATCATCAACTCATATACTTTGAGAAGCAAAATGGTTAATATTTCAAGAGATATATCATCAATTCATATACTTTGAGAAGCAAAATGGTCAACTAACGGAAGGAGTTTACATCTGCAGACAGAAAACAAACCTAGGGGCTCTATCTGTAATTTGGAACTTCCTTTAGGCATTTTCATAGCTGTCCAAAACCTCAGGGTGCTTTTTGCAATTAATCCTTTCAAATCTGTTCAAAATTCAGTCAGACCAGACAGTAGTACAAAGAGTACACTCTCAAAACTCAAAATCTCAATTACCACAAAACAAGATAATATTCATATAACCAATATCAGAAATAAAAAAACAGAGTCGAAAATATAGACATTTTAAATATAACAAAGATTGCTCGATTAGCTACAAGTTAAACAAAGAAACAGGACCAACTCTTTATATCTTGACCAAATAAGTCGGTATAACACAACATATCAAAGGTTGTCATGATCTATCATTTGCTAGCTTAAAAATTGGTACAGAAGGTAACATAAGGAACAGTAACAAATATAGCTTCTATAGGAAATTGAATTAACTGATAATATCACAAACATAAATAGAGCTGACTTGTACACGACTTTAATATAACTTCTGGTTGTCATTATTTGCCATCATCCTGTAGACACAAAACACTTTGATCAAAATCGAATAAATTATCGAGGAGTAGGGATGACAAAACAACAAAAAGATGGAATTCGATTGGAATAATCAAGATTTCGCATGAATAGGAATAAACAGAAAAAAATGCAACGTACGCACTGAACTATATCTTATAAAGAACGAGTAGAATTAAGTCTTGGTCTTGTTTATATAAGTTGCCATGGCTTGTTCGGTTGATTCGAAACATTGATCCGTTATTTTATCAATTCAGACGTTTCATTCTCATTTTTCAAGCTCAATTTCTTTCTTCAAGCAGAAAACTCCTTAGCCACACTAACGGTCATGCAAGCAATCCAAACTCAACCGCATTTAGGCGGAATGTATTTATTATGTAAATACAGATCTCAATCGGACATTTTATACTTTTTAAATAATGAATTGGTTCGCGGCAACTAGATTGAACTTCAGGGGTAGATAAAGAGAAACAATAAATAAATAAATGAAGCAGCAGAAGAGAACTACAACCCTCTTACCAAGCTATATTTTATCAAAATCATCATCAAAGCCATCATCGCCATCATCTGGGAAATCAAGAAATGAACAAAGTTAATAACCATCACTGAAAACAACACAAGAGAATGAATTTAGTGCTTCTAAATCAAAATCGAACTAAAGTTTTTTTTTTTTGTTTTTTTTTTCTTAGGAAAACTAATTGACAGAGATAAAGTAAACTCAAGGGTGCATATTGCAATACGCCTTAGTAATAACTAAGCTTTAAAGTTTAAACTGAGAATCCTAAAGTTGATCGATGCATACGACTTGAACATGAACACTATAGATACATTATGCTGTAATTCTTTTACATCACGAAAACTGAAGAGTATCTAAAATTCTTTATCCTGGTCTGATTTTTGTAACTTTTTTATACCAATCAGTAACTTCCGGAAAGGTGTCTATTTGGTGCTTTTCCACCAGGAAACTTTGATTCTTCTCGAAGTGGCTTATTGGCTTGAAAACATGAGATTTTGAGGAAAATATGCGTAGGTGGCACTAAGTTTGATAACAATTTTAAATAAAACGAAATATATGCCTGAATAAGAACAAGAAGTTCTTCTAAATCATTAACAAATCGAATGTCCCATAAGCATTTTGCGCCACCCACTCGATAATATCAAACAAATGGGACCAGGTGCAGTAAAGATAATATGTAATTTTTGAAAGCCAAATTAAAAATAGAAAGAAAAAAAAAAATCCTTAAGGGAGGATTGCTATATTCCATTTTACCTGGAAATTAATAAGCTCGACAAACAATTGGCCATGTGAAAACGCACAAGAGTTAAGAGGAAAGGCAGAGAGTAAAATATAGTGACAGAAATTCCAGCAAGATAATATGGTTTTGCAGGCTTTTATAGTGTGTACCTGGACCATCATCACCATCCTCCATATCTCCCAGAAGAAATACATCCAAGTCCTGCTCAGAAACCGGTGACTTTAAAGCACTGCTTCTTTGTTTTGAACCCTCATCTGCTGTTTTTGAAGGAGTTGCACCTGATGAAACTTCCTTCACCTCAATATCTTTTACGATTTCAGCAGCTTTGAGCTTTAGATGTTCATTGTAACAGTGTTCATATCTGCAAAAGTTGATAGGTCCAGATCCCAGCGAAGCTATTAACAAATACGTATACAGTCATACAGAGACACATGTAAATATCTTCCACATAAGAACATAAAACTATAACATCAAAAGCACATAACTATAGCAAGTACAGAAACTAGCCTCACATTTTGCATCCCATTTCTCCAGACCAGGATATATAACGAGTCACTGAATACTATTACAGAAAATTAATAAAATGATCTGAAAAATCAACTCAGACGTTCAGTACATAATGATTTCATAATAAATAACATGAAAATACGCATTCATTGAAAATCTTGAAAACTCTTCCCCTGAACTTAAAATCTCAAACCGTTTTTTCTGTAGGGGATGTTACTTACGGTGCCACATGACTGTTAACCAAAATGAAGTAGATCCTCCAGAACTTCCGCTCTTTCATCACTCGTGGACATAATTGATACCTTAGCTTTGAGATTTCCTGAAAGATATAAACGCTATCAAGGTTATTAGCTGTCTCATGTCTGATTGAAGAACTTTTAAGTCACTGCAAATTCATGTTCACTGAAACACTGATAAGATGAGCCACCAGGCTCTTCCTCTCACTCTCATTTGCAGGTTTTTCATCAAATTTATGGAAAGACCGTTACGTACACTAATAAAATAGGTTCAAATAAATCACACTGCCTTATAATCACATAGATGCAGGTGACAAATGACACAGATATCAATGAATCTAGACTATTTCACTTCATTAAAAGAAAAATAATGGACTGGCTATCTGATCATTCACATTCTATTTTATTTTTCCTTTTAAATTTTGTCCAGTTTGAATTGGGCACAGCTGTGAATAAGAACAGCCTAACCTTCACATTTAAGAGAACGAGTTTTGCATGCCTTTCTTGCCACTCCGTGAGATCCTGTCGCACGTTTGAAACCGTAGGAACATCAGACATCTCTGAATCGTCTGCACATAAATACTGGTTGGCATAAGTTTTTTAGTATAAATTGAAATGCATGGTTAAGAAATTGGAATATACTTTTGTGTTTAGGAATATTTTGGCTTAAAAGTAACTAAGTGCAACAACACCAATAATGCATCGTGAAAAAGACAAAATAAAAGATCCTTTAACTATAAAAAAAGTAAATCAGAAAAATTAAATAGAAATTTAAGAAACAAACAAATAAACAACACTTTCACAACATTCAACAGTCAACATTGTTTTCTTCTTCCTCATTTTTCTAAATTATTTGATAAGATGAATAGAATATTACAAAAATCATGAGTGTATCAATGCAATACAAGATGGTGAATGCGGTTGCGCCTGAGCAACCTAGTAGTCTCCTCTATAAATGTTTTTTTATTCCTCAATTTCTTCTGTTTGTACGTATTATTGTACCTTGGCCTTCAGTTTTTTTATTAAACCTACTGACACTTAAACTAAAGAATCGCACCATTAAAAACATTTCTACGTTGCATGAGGTGCATGAGTGGAACGATGATACTTTCTTTTTCATTAGAGACAATAATTCATTACAAAAGAGAGTAGCGCCAAGATTTCTTATCCTTGAGTGCCTTTCTACCGGTAGCTAGTTAAATTTTCATGTTTGGATCCACAATTCTATCCACTATTCTGACAATAAAAAAAACCTTCTACCTCCGATAAAAAAATAAAACCATCTACCTCCTTGATCCAAGAAAAGTATGCATTCAAAAATTTTCTTCAATCAAAGGATGATTGCCTGAACACGTTTTCAGACAAAAGGAATTTCCTACTTCTCGTTATTTTTTCTTTTTTAAACAAAGATTGCTCCCATCTGACCTTTAATAGCCCTCACGAATCCTCTTTCATTACATCCTTCACAATCCTTAAACGACAAGCTCCATAGTTCTCAACACAACTAACTGAACCCTTTATACCAATGCATTTCAAGAGCCTCAAAATGTACTAGCAAGCAGCTACACATCCCTCTAGTGTGACAATTAGGAGTTCAAACAAAACTCATCAACATGGAGATATAACAATAACATCTACACGCCTTCAACCATAAACTCCGGTAGAATCATAAACAACTTCACAAGTAAAATCACCAACCAAACAATTTTATCCCCATTAAGTCAAATTCGATAAATGGGGCCACCATTCACCATCAAAACAAGGCACCCACAAACAAAGCAGAAAAAACGGTTGGGGAAAAATTCGAAGCAGCAGCAGAATACCTGCAAGCGGCAAATCCCGGAACGTGTCCATAGCGATCTCCTTCACAAACTCCCTCAGCTCATCAGTCACCCCGTACTTCTCCAGATCGGCGGTCCCGACGCCGCCGTCCACGACGGCGGACGGTTCGACGAAACCGGACAGAGCGGCGGCGGGCGGAGGGATGTGGGCCGTGATCTGATCGGCGCGCCGGAGAGCCTCCGCGGCGAGCTCTTTAGACTTCTTGGAGGCCTCGGCCGCCAGCTCCTTGGACCGCTTGGAGGCCTCCGAGACGACGCCGGCGAGGTTCGCGGCGGCGATTCCCTGAGTGAGCTCCTGCGACTTCCTGGCGGCTTCCTCGGCGAAGCTGCGGGCCCTCTGCCAGAAATCCATCGGCGTTTGGGGATTTACGGGAAACGGAGAGTGGACTGAGAATTTATATCGAGCTCGACTCAGAGTGTTTGGTACGTTGAGTGCAGATTTGATATACTTTCAGTTTAGATTTAACAATTTTTTTATACAATATACAAAATTAATAATTTAATTAAAAAATACAATCTATTTTTAAAATGATTTTTAATTATTTTAACAATTTGTCCATTCAGAGCGAGCCGTCGCCGGCATCGGGGCCTGCGGGACGAAGCTTTTCTCTTCAAAATGGACGGCGGCGTGAACGAGCGGGAAATTGAAGTCCGAAGCTTGACCGGCGAAACAATACGAGCCTTGATTGGAGCAAACAAGACCGTCGAGGACCTCAAGCTCCTCCTCAAGCACACCTTTCCTCCGGCTTCCTCATCCCCTAATTTCCACCTTTTCCTCAAGGCGCGATTGATTTCTCAAATCCCATTTACTCGTTTGCGCTCTGCATTCTGTGAATTGTTCATCCCCAGCAGTTATTACATCGCCAGAGTGTGAATTGCGTGTTTGTTGAGAGATGAATGCACTTTTCTTCATTTCGTGCCTCGTACAGTTTATACGAGTTCATTCTATCTTAGCTCTGGTTTTGTTTCTGTTGAGTCTGTTTGTTTACTTGCTGATTGTTTTTTGGCTGGTTGCAGGGTAGAAAACTGAACTTGAAGAGTCAGATTAGTAGTTATGTTATTGGGGTTGGAGAGTTTTTGGTTCTTGTCCCTTTTGTGACTAAGGGTAGGAAAAATGGAAATGGCATGTCTTCTTATCAAGACACTTCTAATGATCAGAATAAACCAGAAGCTGGATTCACGGCCATGGGTGGCATGGCAACAGCCTCTTCCAGGGCAATGAATAGGAAGAAAGACTCGAATAATGACAAAGAAAAAAGGAATTCGTACGATATTGTGTTGAGCATATTGCAGGGCTGCGGTGGTGACCTGATTGATGAAAAGATGGTCGAAAAGTTTCTTCAGTTTATAAATAGCTCAAGCTGTTTATGTGACCCAGCTACAGGGTATTGTGTGATGCGGGAATCTAGTGCTTCCCCCTTCAGTGAATTAGATTCTTGTAATAATAATATGTTGTGCTTCTGCCCATTGTGGCTGAAGGACATTATGAGTGCATTTTCATTTGTGAATATTTACTCAGCATGTCTTGAGCTGTGTAAGAAAAGGATTAGCATATGCGCACTGGAGGAACCACTTGACCGACTCCATAAAATTGGCTTTCGCCCTGGCATCGTGGAATTGGAGCTTCTTTCTCAGCTTTGTCCTAAGGTAACTTTTGTATGATGGTGCGAACTGTGCTGCCTTGTGAATAAGTCTGTTNTTCACTTTCTTTTCTAGAGTTACATTGGTCTTGGTTACTATCTTTTATCATTCCTTAGTTATTTGATATGTGCCACCATTATGGTTCTATATGTTTCCCTGTTTTTTTTCCTTAAAATCCATCATCGTTGTACCGGAATTTGGATGACAGTGCTTTTGAGAATGATGACTAAGCTGAATTCATATCTAGTGCTCTTGCGTAATAATTAGCCAACAGGTGAGCTGGACTCTGGATACATTAGCCAAATTGAAATTTTAGACCCAGTTTGGATCATTTCCTCAGTAAAGTTGTTTTTCTCCTGTCGACTTATACGACAACCTTCATGATGTATCCTTTGAATTATTTTACTTGAAGATTCGTATTTGTGCTGTTGGTGAAAATTTAGAATTTGGATGAGATTTGAAGAATTACAAATGAGTTGATGTTATATGTGCTTACAATATGAACTGTCTTCTTTTTCTAATTTTATCTTGTGATACAGAACAGATACCATTTCTGAAGTTACATTGCTTTTTATAGGTGATTGAAACCCATGTCCAAAACAACTTCTGTTTATCTGTTTGGTGTTAGTCCCGAGACAACTTACAATTCATTATTGTTATGATACCTTAATCTAAGCATGGTACTATGTTTGCTCTTCTCAGGTACTATGTATTGTTAACAATGAAATAGAGGCAACAGAATTACCTGATGCTGTAATTATAATGAGATCCTCAGCAGACAAAAGGGACCAGCATGATGCTGAACTCAATCGAGGTACTTTTTAACATATCAATCTATTAATCCACACTCCATAAGGTTATTATCTGCTTGTGTATCATGCACAAGCTACCTCTATGGTTCTTTTACATTGTGGGCTACTCTTGGAAGCTGCAAAACGGTTACCCAGGTCAAAGTTTGTAAACTTGATGCAGAAAAGAGAAACTTCCTTGAAAGCTATTCTTTCAAAGGCAGCAAAATCATTGATGGTACATTAATGCTATTCTACTCGCTTATTTGTTCTGAGGCTTCACATCTTATTCTATTTCTTTGAATATTGCACATCTCTTCGATTAATCTATTATTTTCAACTATTTAATGTTATTCCAAGTAATGCACTTCTTAAGCTTATTCAGATGAAGTCATGAGTTTCCGCATCTATCGTACTGTTTCTTGATAACATTTTCTTTCTAAATGTCTTTTAGTCTTATTTGGGGCTAGCATTTAAATTATCCCTCTTCTTAGTCATTTTTCATTTGGTAATATTGGATTGCTCTAAATTTCTAAGCATCAGTTTTCATCTACGTAAATCTTGATTCTTGAGTAGAATACGACAACTTGAGATCTCTTGTCATTGTAGGGCCTTTGTCCAAGAGGCTGTTTTCCGTCCGCTACTATGTTCAATCTACCACTTACTGAAGCTTAATAAGTTCTCCCTATCATGAGATTAAAACTCTATTGTTGCAGTCTGCAGATGGAGCAGATATGATCAAGCCTTTTTCATTAGAAGATCTTCTGACTTCTGTGAAAAAAGCTGATACTACATCAGCTGAAAAGAATGTGAAACAAGTGAGGAGAAGAAATTCTGATGCTTCAAATTCTCTTTCATACGAAATACACTGTCATGTAAGCATAAATTATTACAAATTTTTATCAGTTGATTTCTATTCACTGCTGCAAAAGCCAGAGTGTTGGAAGGAACTATTGGAAGTTCATGCTTATCCCACATCGATTAATTAATAGATTGTCATGAGGTTTTATGATGGTTGTGCAAAGTTCAATGTGTACATGCAATTACCAGTTATTGTTTAAGTTGATAGTACAATTGATTCCTTGGTGGTTTTATGGTCATTTGTCGAACCGAGTCTCCGAATTTTGACACTGTATTTTATGGCTTAGCAGGACACAAAGTCTTTGCTACCTGAGGAAATGGTGGAGCATCTACATAGCACTCTAGGAACTCAAGGACAGGTTTCTATTCTTCGACAACCTTTCCTGATCTGTTTCTTTTTCTTTCATTTACCCTGATGTACTTGATTGGACCGGGGGATGTAGGAATTTGTTTTGTAAGCAAGATAGAGGATTGAGATTGCTCACGTATGGGATAATAACTGATATTAACTATAATTTACATAACTGTGACTAGTAAAACTTTTCATGTGCAGGTGGTTCACATTGAAAAGATCAGTGCCCGGGGTGCCAAGTATGTTGATATCCCATGTCAGCTTTCTGATAATGTGAAATCTGCATTGAACCGTGTGGGGATTACAAGATTGTACAGTCACCAAGTACGAAATTTATTCTGATAATTAAACTACAGCTCTCCCTATTATGTGTTTCCATTAGGGTGCTTAGTTGTGATGGATTACATAGGCTGAGTCAATTCAAGCTTCCCTTGCTGGTAAACATGTCATTGTGGCCACCATGACATCTAGTGGGAAATCTCTTTGTTACAATATTCCAGTTGTGGAAGCACTGCTGCACAATCCATTAGCTTGTGCTCTCTATCTCTTTCCTACCAAGGTGTGTTCCCTGTTCTGCTTATTAATGGCTATTTGATTGGAATTTGGCTGAATATCCACTACGACTGGGTTGTACATCTTGATTTCCTTCTCTATATGGTGCAGTTAGGCAGTCTTTGATTGGCATTACTTACATGCAGGCATTGGCTCAAGATCAGTTAAGAGCTTTGTCAGCTCTTACTCATGGGCTTGATAATAGCCTAAACATAGGGATATATGATGGAGATACTTCTCAAGAAGATAGATTGTGGCTGCGGGACAATGCTCGGCTGGTATTTTCCGAAATTGGTTTGTTTTGGAATAAGACGAATTCTTTTGGATGGTTGTTGTATTTAAATTTTCATGCACGAATATGCAGTTAATTACAAATCCAGATATGCTTCACATCTCTATATTGCCTTTTCATGGGAAGTTTAGCCGGATATTGTCAAATCTTAGGTACTTTGAGGTGCTTCTGCATTTCTAGTACTCTATTGCTTTAGTTTTTCGATTGACTTCTCGAATTTCTCTTCAATTTATGGCTAACAAGATTTTACATTTATAATTCTTTTCCATCTCTTATTTACTATAATTGGTTGATTTGTTCTTAAATTTGGACAGGTTTATTGTTATTGATGAAGCTCACTATTATAAGGGGACATTTGGTTGTCATGCTTCTCTAATATTTAGAAGGCTTCGTCGAATCTGTTCTCATGGTACCCCTTTTGGTAGTTTATGCCAATCTTAAATTTCTTTTCATCCTGTCTTTTCAACTCAACTTGAATTTGATCTTTGTAACTGACTCTTTTCCAGTGTATAGCAGTGACCCTTCTTTTGTATTCAGCACAGCGACTTCTGCAAACCCCAAAGAGCATGCTATGGTAATATATCTCTTCAGAATCTGTAAAAAACTTTTTGGTACTGCTAACTTAGAGTTTGTAATCTAGTTCTTCTAACAAAAATTCACACAATTATCACCGACCAACGTTTGATGCTAAAACTATGGGATTATCTACCAATTGAACGCATTTGGCGTTATGTAGAATACAGTTGCAATATGGATACCTGTATTGAGTGCCCAGTAATGGGCTATTGGCGCTTTTCTCATTGCCATATTCACCTTGTCAATATTCAACATCTTGAATGGTGTTACAGGAACTAGCAAATCTACCAACAATAGAGTTAATTGAAAATGATGGTAGCCCTTCTGGTTTGAAGCTCTTTATTCTCTGGAATCCTCCTTTATGCCTAAAAACTGTGAGATTTTGCTTAAAATATCAATTGATCTTCGATTATAAAGATATTGGGCGGATATAGTTTAACCACTTTACTGTATTATATCTATTTTCTAGGTTTGGAAGAGAACTAAGACCAGTATGGAGGCTAATGGATCTGTTAGTAAAACTGTGGTTCCTGGACGCTCTAGGTGATGCATGTCTTCTCTCTATGGTTCTAGACAGCGTTGAGAGTTTATATTGAACCTGCATATGGTGATAATTTTGAAATGTTAATAACCAAGAGTAATTTCATGATTTGTAGATTATCGTTCTATTTATTAGCATTCTTTATGAGTAGCAAAAACACACCTTCTCATAAGTTTGAAAGTTGCAACAAAAAAGCTCTTAATCCCATATTTGGAGCTAGAACATGCCCAATTAAACAATGCAAGTACTTTAAATGCGTTATGAATTGATAGTGTTGGTTAATGATTATTTCATCATTTTTTATGATTATGTTATTAATATATTTGTAATCCAACTTTATTTTGCAGTCCAATTCTAGAGGTTTCCTACCTATTTGCAGAAATGGTTCAGCATGGGTTACGTTGCATTACATTCTGTAAAACACGCAAACTTTGTGAACTTGTTCTCTGCCACACGTATGTATAAACCTCATTTCCCAAGCTTTTCAGTTATTTCTTAAGTTGATGGACTTGTTAGCTCATTATATATGTGATTGTGATTAGGCGTGAAATACTTCGTGAATCAGCACCGCATCTAGCAGATAAAGTGTGCTCTTACCGAGGAGGCTACATGGCTGATGTTAGTTTCTTTTTCAAGCATTGAAGATATTTAATTTATGAGTTAACATTGACTCTTTGTTCCATTGGCTCGACTTTAATACACTTGATAGCACACGACTTTGTTAAATACCTCTCTGTTTTCAACCTTATGAACCCAATAAATTTATTCTCCTTAAGCTATATTTCAGTGGTCATTGAAAATTTATGGCCAGGGTTACCGGATGATGTGCTCAATCTTGCTCAATATTATCATTTTTGAAGAAATATAGAATAAAAAAGTTCAAAGCAATACTTTTTCACAGTTATTCTTTTGTTCTATATAGATGTTTTAAACCTTACACATGCATTCATCTACCATGATATATTAGCTCAGCGGGAAAGTAATCATGATCCGTATGTACCTCCTGGACCTCTTAGTGTTGATCATTTTTTTGCAAGACATGTGACAACTGCAGAAACAGAATATTATTTTAATTGGCCAAAGATGTCTAATTAAAAGAAAATGATAATTCAGTTTCTCATTTCTATCTAACTAAATATTATTTTTTTTCCTCCTGAGGTAAAGTCCAAAGCATCTTCCCGGCTTATATTTTAATATTTGATGGAACAGGACAGGCGAAAAATTGAGAGTGATTTCTTCAATGGCAATATTTGTGGTATTGCTGCTACAAATGCTCTTGAGTTAGGCATTGATGTAGGTCATATTGATGTCACACTCCATCTTGGGTTCCCCGGTAGCATAGCGAGGTGTAGCATTCACACATTTCTTTATGTCCATTCCATTATTACATATGCTTTTGGGTTTTAATTATTGTTCACTTCAAATGGCTTTCAGTCTGTGGCAACAAGCTGGAAGGTCAGGAAGGAGAGAAAAGCCATCACTCGCTATATATGTTGCATTTGAAGGACCTTTAGATCAGTACTTTATGAAGTTCCCATATAAACTTTTCAGGGGTCCGATTGAGTGCTGCCATGTCGATCCTACTAATGATCAGGTTTCTTTTAATTTTTGGCGATTTTATTTTATTTGCTATTTTCTAAGAAAATTTAGAATTAAGAACGCAAATTAAAAGGGTAGGTAGGGGTAGACCTAAGAAAAAAAACGTGGAATGAGACAATAAAAAATAATTTAAAATATTTAAATTTGAATGAGGATATTTGCTTTGATCGAGCACGATGGCGACATGTGATCCATATAACCGATCCCACTTAGTGGGATTTTAATGGCTTGTTGGTTGATTGATTGATTGATTGATTATTTCATTTGGTATTCTGCGTCTTATCTCAATTAATGTTAGTGAAAGGATGGAGGTCTCGTTTTTGTTGGTTTATAAAGTAAAATGTTGCCTCCTTCAATTGCCTGTATTTAGGCGCTGCAGCAGCACTTAACATGTTCTGCTCTTGAACACCCGTTGAGCTTGCTTCACGATGAGAAATATTTCGGTTCTGGCTTAGAGAAAGCCATCAAGAGCCTTAAAAGCAAAGGCTTCCTGAGCACTGATCTATCGCGTGAGTCTGCTGCCAGAATATGGACCTATATTGGGCATGAGGTAATTCGTGTGAACACTATTTGTCTATTGTGATTAGGAATTAATTTATACTTCACACCAGGATGATCTTTAAATATATTATCGATCATCTCTATGTATGTAGGTACTATATTTTGTCTCATCGGCCTTATTTACTCTCATCGTATCTTTTTACATCTTGCATCTGACTAGCATAATTTACTACTACTTCAAGCTCTTGTTAGAATATTGTTATTTTCTCATATTGCCATGTATAATACGACACTTACCTTTTCCTATTCAGAAGTCCCCATCCAGTGCTGTTAACATTAGATCCATGGAGCGTGTGCGTTATAAAGTAATTGACAAACTAAACAATGAAGTCCTTGAAGAAATTGAGGAAAGCAAAGCTTTCTTTCAGGTTAGAACACTATGGTAATTATGGTTTATGATTTTATTGTTATCTTTTCATGATATGAAGTGTCAAACTTGGTATTATGGAGTAGGATATGCATTCTTGTGCTGTATCATAGCAAAATTCAGTACATATCTGTTGTGAAGCAGGCCCTTTTTTTTTCAGCCAGAGTGTTGTTAACTTATTGTACTTTAGTCTTTTGTTTAAATCAATATATATGCCAAAGAAAAAAAAAAATAGAACATATAAGTTTTAGTCCAGGAGTATCAGTCCAGCTTTACTTTGTTTGTGACATTTTGTTCGGTGTTTACTGGGACGATGCTTGTGCTGATTGCAGGTTTATGAAGGTGCTGTCTATATGAATCAAGGGAAGACTTACCTAGTAAAACATTTAGACTTGGCGAGTAAAATTGCTTGGTGCCAACGGGCAGATGTAAACTACTATACGAAAACTCGTGACTACACCGAGATTCATATAATTGGCAGCAATATTGTGCGTAAGGGTTGAAAGACTGATTTATTATTTTATTTTTCTCACCCGGTTATATACTTATTTCTTCATCTGGCATTATTGCATACGTTGACTACAATGGTTTTCAATTTGTTATTATTCTGTTCAGCCAATGGAGTATAAGAAACTTTTGCCTGTGAGAACTTTTTTGAAAAGAAAATTACAAAATTGCTATGCCTATTAGTTATTAGATTAAGATTTTTTGGAATCAACATTCAAAATTACTTCATAGTATATGTATCAAATTATTACATTTTTCTTGTGCAAAATCTGAACAATATCTATTTTCAAAACATTATTGTAAACTTTTTGCTTTGATTTCAATTTTGTCATGTATAGGCCTATCCAGCTACGGCTTCCATTGACCAGCTTGCAAGAACAACTGCCCAAACAAATACTTGCAAAGTAACAACTACTTGGTTCGGTTTTCGTCGAATATGGAAAAGAAGCAATGAGGTTATTGATACTGTGGAGTTGTCTCTACCTGACTACTCGTACGAGTCACAGGTACATCATTGTAAAAAAATCGGCATTTGAGTGGGATTTCTATTATGTTTATTTTATCTTTATTTTTTTACTTTTTTGGTGATAATAATAATTCATGATGTTACAATTCCTAGTTATATTATCTCTACATTACTTTGTTCTAGGCTGTTTGGATTCGAGTTCCACAATCGGTAAAGACAGCTGTTGAGTCCTCCCATTACACCTTTCGGGCAGGCTTACATGCTGCAGGACATGCTCTTCGTAACGTGATTCCTTTGTGAGTCCTCAACAATCCACCATGGCCTCTTTTACTTAAGCTGACAGGATCGGATATGGTTGGATAACTCTTGTTATCCAGCGTTTACTAATCATGATGAGATTGGATAATAAGCTGATGTGTCCTATGGGTCCCACTTTTATGCACAATTGACAGCATTATTTTTTCCGGTCTTGAGGGTGGGACAATTTAATCCCACCATACAAGTTTGTCCAAAAATTGGCATGTGAAATGTCCATTTTAGCCTTTAAACCAAATTACATATTTAGGCCATATAAAATTGTTTTGTGGGTCCCACACTTTTACTTCATATTTTGCTTTTTATCCTGTCAGGTTAGGTTACTCAGGTTAGTAAATGCTTGATTGTTTTCCTTAAAATGCATCATGTTTAGTAAACATTGGACACAAGCTGACGTGTAAAGTTAATGGGATTAAAGTTGTCCAATCCCATCCTATCCCATCCCATCCCATCCCATCCCATCCCATCCCATCCCATAAAGTAAAGTTAATGGGATTAAGTTCTTCATGGTTACATTGTTTTGCAGGTTTATTATATGCAACCAATCTGATTTATCTTCAGAGTGTGCAAATCCATACGAAAACCACTATGTTCCAGAAAGAATTCTGCTTTATGATCCTCATCCTGGAGGTACAGGCATTTCAGCCAAGGTAAAAAGAGACTAAGCGTGCTTGGATACAAATATATCCGCTTAAAATGAGTTTTTATGTTTAACCAGAGTTAATTTTGAAAGAATGTTGTATGGTTAGTTGTTTGTGAGATTTTGAGTTATTATTAAAATAATATTTAAAATAAAATAATTAAAGTTGATTTGATGTAGAAGTATGAGATAAATGATTGGAAGTGCTAGGTAGTTAAAATTATGTGAGTGGATGAATAGTGAATTAAAGTTGATGTGATGTGTAAGAATGATTGGTTGATATTATTTAATTATATTGATAATATTGAGGATAGTGAGGTTGAGTTAGATTTTGAGTATGAACTGAAAAATTTTATTAACCAACACCCTCTAAACATTTTGTCGTATTACTTTAGAATCATACAATGGAAATAAAGTTTTTCTTGGTCTTGTTTGGAAGGGAGTTCGTAAATCATAATCACATGTTAGTTTGATTACCAGAAATGAATGATATTTTACGATTTTAAATACATATTTTTCCAGGTCCAACCTATTTTTACCGAGCTGCTAATAGCTGCTTCAGAATTGCTTTCTTCATGCCACTGCTCAGGAGAGGCTGGCTGCCCTAACTGTGTGCAAGTCAGTTTTGAATCGTACTATTACATCTAATAAAGTTTCGATTTTTTTCATCTCATTTTAGTTGGGCTGAAAATATTCCGGCTTTTTTGTCATTTTCCAGAACCTTGCGTGTACCGAGTACAATGAGGTTCTACACAAGGAGGCCGCATTAATGATCATTAAGGTTTGTATTTAAAATTCACACTCAAAGTTACGAGTGGTTATTAAAATGACGCTTATTGACTCTGAAATTGCTAAACAAGAAATATTTTCCGGCAGGGTGTTTTAGAGGCAGAGGCAGCTTAGAGTCTCGTATTTTTGGGTTGTTTGTGCTAACTGGGGAAGTTTTTGTCGCACACTAATACTCGTGCTCGTCAGGCCCATCAGATTACGTCGTGCTTAGCCAGTTTAAATTGCCGAAAATCGGATACTTAAATTGTAATTTTACCAAATGTTGGGTATTGCTTTCTTGATTTGTAGGAAATGTTTTTAGACCAGATAGCTGCAATAAATCATGGCATTTTCCAAGACTGCAACTTGGGCATGATTTTTTCTGTTTTGGTGCTAAACAAAATCACCATGTTTGATTCCAAACCATGGAAAATGATGCAATGGTGACTAGTGGCTACCTTTTTAAAAAATAAATAAATAAATGTGTAAAATCTCTTTTAAACTCGCCCAATTGAAGGAAAAACACATTTTTTGTGGCTGCCCACAAATTTTTCCAAATTATAATCGATCCTCGCTTAACTACAGTGACTCATACTGAGGGCAGATTATATTTGAAAAAATTGTTTGAATGAAAAATATGAGTTAAAAACTAGAAAAGGAGATTGTTGAAATGAAATATTTTTTAGATTGTTAATAAATATGAGAGAAAATGTAATAATTAAAGTTGTTGTGGTGTAAAAATTGTAAAATAATGAATTTAAATAATTAATAGTTAAAAATATGTTAGTAGATGATAGTTTCGTTAAAAACATGTAGTAATGATCAATCTTTTTTTCCTCTGTTGGAACCTAAGACCCACACCTCTTTCATTCACTAGCAAAGCTAACAGTAGTAAGGATTATATGTCCAAAGAGAAACAGAAGGAGAAAACAAAAATGGAGGAAGAAGAAGAAGAAGAAGAAGGTGGGAACTTCAAACAATGTTGATACGATTCACAGAAACATAAAATCAAAACTAAAATCTACCAAAAAACAAAACCTCTCTAGTGTATGATAAAAAAAAAATATATTCTCTCAGTTTTCAGACATATACTTTTCATATAACCCAAGACATCTAAAAAGATAAAAAAATTCCTCACAAAAGGCTAAAAGAAATTCTAAGTCTAAACCTAAACTCTCCTAATGTAAAATACTTCTTCCCAACACCAAAAAAGCAAGAAAAAAATGTGATCTTGATTATTCCCCCTCAACAACAAAAGCATCATCACCATCATCATCATATCTGATATAACAACATCAGCTTGTAACACAATCCTGCAGATATTGATTAGCACGATTCACATACTGTTCCCACATAGGCCTATATCGAGCTATACTCACCTTCAGCCACGGCTTCATATTCCCATTGTAGTGAATAACAGCTGCTGACTCTATCAGCCGATTATCGATATTCAAATCATAACCCAATCCCAAAACGTGCCACCTTCGGTCAAGCGGCTCGGTCAAACCGTAAAAAGTCAAAAGCCCGGGTGGCAGTGTCCCGAGCTTCCAAATCAACCTATCCGTATTCTTCTCCATCCAAAAATGATACCTTGAAGTCACATTTTCTCTCCTCCAAGCAATCAAATCGAAAACATTCATTCCAAAGGCCCATCCGCATGCTTGAGGGTCGAATTTAGTGCTTATAATCGGGTTCGAAAAGTTGAGGTATTTATAATATCTGTGGAAAGCCTCGAGGCACGTCTCGACTGCCCCATTCACATTCCCGTGCAAATCGAGCGAGAAAGTTCAGTCAAGTCCTTTTGGACAACTATATCGTCATCTAAGAAAATTACCTTCTCTAACTGTGGGTAAATTTCGAGTACGTAAAAACGGAGGTGATTTAGAAGGGAGATGTATTTCGGGTATAGCCAGGTGAATTCTTCGATATTTTGAACTTCTATAGTGGCGCCTTTGAAATCGTTTGATATAAACCAAGCTTGCATTGCCCCATACTTCACCTCACTTGTCACAAGATGGAAAACGAGCTGTTTTGGATGCTCGGCATTTGAAACGGTTGAATTTACAACAACTGAAACGGCTAGTGGGTTATCGGAAAATATACAGAAATGGTAAAGATTATTATCCACTAGCCTGGGAGAATTTTTTTTCTTCTGCTCGTCTGAAAAAAGCTGTAAAGATTTGTTCTGGAGCCATTCGGCTGTGAGCTTAATATTAAAGCACTCGATATTCTTGGGAATTGCCTCGGAAGCTAATTGCCCGAAAATCGTACCTTGAATAGTGGCCGTGTTTGCACGTTCTTCGAGTGCTTGTATATGGGACTTCATCGTCATTATAGTGGTGGCAATATCGTAATGAGAATCTTGCGCCTTGAAGATGAGAGATGAGAGGCTTTTGATTACTGGCTCGGCTTCTTCTAGAGAGATGGGCTCATCATCATCATCCCGCATGGCGGCCTTAGAGAGCAACAGCTGGCAACTTCTTATTCGCGAGCCCAGCTCCCAAGCAAGATGGAGATTGTTGTGCTCTTTCGCGATTGTGAGGTATGCTTTGGCGAGAGTCATTTGCTCGGCTAACTGCCGAGCGTATGATCTGGTGCCTCCGAGTATTTGTTCGGTGAAATTGCGGTTTTCGTGGGGAAACTGATCGTTTATGGAATTTGTCTCCTGAAGAAAAATAGGGTAAAAAAACAATTAAAAAGACTAAATGAGCTCCAAAAATCATTCGTACGGAGTTTTTTTTAGGCTACAAATCAACGGCATTATTCCACCTTGTTATTTAGATTTTTTGTTACAAGCCGAGTAGTAATGTTAGTTTTTCCCTTAATTCTCTTCCACAATAAAGTGATGTGAATCTCCCACAATAG